AATTTTTTGTCTATGTATATTTTCTGATCACGTTTAATCATTTTAATATCTCCATAGTGTTTAACCAAATGAATCCATTTATTTGTATACTTTCCCATTGAAGAAACAGTCCTTCTCACCATCATTTTTTGTGCTATAATAATACTGTTCTGACAGTTTCCTCTCTAGAAGAGAATTACTAAACCATTGAGCACATCTACTTCAACTTTAACAGATTTTTCAAAATTGCAATTCAAAGTGGTTATAACAACCATTATACTAATTAGCAATATAACTGAGTTTCTATATCCCTATATTCTTAATAACATCTGGCAATTCAGGTCACTTCAGCAAACACTTATAAAGCATGTGATATAAACTCAAAACTCTTAAATACTTTATCAGAAACAATAATAAACCAAAAAAAGGCTTAAAAATATGTAGCCTTATGAAACTTATACTTTGGTGCAGCAACACATAAAATAAGCAATATAAACAAATATTTTGTATTTTAGAATTTGATAAGTGTTATCCAAAAAAACAAGACAAAACAAAGCAATAGGAAGTGCCAGAGGGATGATGAAATTCCATGTAAAATTTAGTGGTAAGGCGAGTTCTCACTGAGAAAGTAACATGTAAGTAAAGACCTGTTGACTTCACAAGAATATGGTAGTACACCATTTATTTATTTAGGAGGAAGCATGCTAGATATACGGAAAGATAAATTTACTGAAGTGAAAGTTTTCCTGAGTGTTTGTTTTTGAGGTAGCAAGGATGCCCATGAAGCTGTGAGTGAGAAAGGAAGTAGTTAGAAAAGAGGAAATATAGTCGGGCGTGGTAGCGCGCACCTGTAATCCCAGCTACTTGGAAGGCTGAGGCGGAAGGGTCGCCGGAGCCCAGCAGGTCGAGGCTGCGGTGGCCGGGAGCGGCCACTGCACTCGAGTCTGGGCGACCGAGTGAGACTCCAACTCAAAATATATAAATAAAATAAAATAAAATAAAATAAAATACGTTATTTTAAAGATGTGGGGTACAATTTAGGATTAGGTATTCAAGTGAACATTGTACAGGTCAAGTTTGGGCCTCCCTTTGGTCCCCACTTTGCCTGGCTTGAGATCAGGTTCCTTTACTGATGTTGTGTCCCCACCCCCACCACCACCCTGGCAGTATCCTACTACTGCCAATCCCTTTCTTATAGTATTATGGCAAATGATGGACTTAATTTCATGATAAATAATGAATGGATTCCTTACAGAACATTCTCTTTCGGTTTATATTTCCTGAATATAGCATGATGTCTTGAATAGAGTGATGAACAGTTAATAAATTTTTAAGGAAGAAAAGTAAAAAAGAAGGAAAGAAAACATCCATGCATTAACTTATGCAATTGAAGTAACTAGACATAAGAATTTTTAATGCAGGAAAACGAGATATAACATTAGAAATAAAATATTATATTAAGGGGCCCCATGAATTTGAAAGAATGAGAATTTAGATTCTGAATTTCCTTTTACCCTTTTTGGTTTTTAACATGTGTTCTCTCCTATTCTATTTCTTCCAGGAATGATGATAAATGCATATGCTTCATATGATGATATTCATATCTGAAATCTGATATAATTCGGAGTGCACATATCACTGCATCTTTTGTATTATGATGTTTCATAATAGTTAGTTCTCATGGAAAATATAAATAATGAATTTAATTTGATGAAACCACACCCAAAAAAAGTTATCTACATTTATGTTTCTTCCGTGAAACAAGTCTAGATATCACCATCCCAGCGAGGAGTTTTTTTCTGTACTGAATTGGTTTTCAGTCATGTCTGTCTTTCCAGTTTCATCAAGCAGTTTTTGCTAGGAACTTGGAGACTAGAATTACAGCTATATTTCCACCTGCTTTACAACATTTTGTTTCCAGTACATATCATCTCACAATGTGTTCCTTTGTGGCACATTACAGGATCATTAAATTAAAAATGAGAGGTGTGGTTGATGATTGACTGCTCTGTAATTACCCAGAGTGTTTGTCAAAGGCAGTAGGCAGGAGACATAAGCTCTATTTTGCTGTTATATTGACTCTAAGGTTACAGCACATCTCTGATGGCATAGAAAACTTTTCCAACAAGGATGTTTAGTGAAGCAGATCTGTTCCAGTGGAATAAATCCCTTCCCCACCAGAATAAACAATGAAGAAAATAATCTGGTGATAAAAATAAGTTCATCCCATGTCTTAAAAATAATAAACATATCTAGGATCAGTTTTTCTCAACATTTTTTCATTATTGAGACTTTTCATACATTTTTTCTCATAACTCTCCCATGAAATTTTAATACCTTAGGTATACTGTTTATGTAATATACTGTGATCATTTGGAAGACTACAAAAACCACTGTAATATCTCAAATTTTCTCTCTCCACCAAGAACAATTTATGCCCTGTTGAGAATGCATATCTTGGATTACACTTGCCAGCACACACTGAATCCAGATGATGTTTCACAATTAAAACTTCTATATGCAAAGTCACATTATTCCCCTAGCATATACAACTCAAAAGAACATAAGACAGAAAAATGGTTATTTAGTGAGTCATACTCGTCAACCAACAGGTCAAATCCAATTCCTCTCCTAAAAATAAGGAAGCCCTACTAATATTAAAGGGTATATTGTTTCCAGGTCAAAATGGTGCCCAAGTCAAAAATCTTGCACCCACAAACTCAAACCCCTCCACGTACAGAGAAAGGCTTTTCTCCCAGAAAGGATAAGACCATGAGCTTGCAACAGCTACCACTTTGCTTATTTGTTTATTAGCACTCAGTTATTGAGCTGTGATTATGTAGACTTTCAACTTAATGAGGATAGGGACTATATTTGGGTTTGCTCATCATTGTGGAATAAAGGAAAGAAAGAAGGAAAGGAGAAAAGAAGAAAACAAGGAGACAAGGACTATGCGAAGTGACTTAAACATTGCCTCTAAGAATATTCTATTTAGTGTGATCAGACATATAAACAAGTAAATAAAATGAAGTGTTCTAATCATCACAATTTTTAAAAAGTGTAGATATGGTGAGGTTACAAGGCAATAGTTAATTCTATCTGGTTGGAGATCAGGGCAAAGTGAAGTGGGTTACGAAAATGTTTATGGAAATGAGGCTGCATTAGGACTTACAAGGGCCCTAAAACACTCTTGCCTTGTATTCCCCTTCTTCCATAGAAACATACTTAAAATATAATTATAATACAAGAGAGGAATATAATTGTCTGGGCACCCTAGAAGCACATACCTGAGATGTCCAGCAAAGACCTCAAAGTCAAAATATTTAAGTGAGAGAAACCCTAAGGACAAACTGGAAGAGTGGCTGAGAGGTAGGGTAGAGAAGACAGCTTGAGAAACCATTTAAAAGTCTCTATGTTGGGAACTAACAGCATCAGGTTTACATTTGGGGCATTTATTCAAGCTGCATTGCAACCAATGGACTTGTAGATATTCTTCAGGGTTTGCGGGGAGACCTCTAAGCCCTCTCTTCTGGGTCAATACACCTATCCCCAGCAGCTGGGAATATGGCACAGCTCAGACCTTCAGTGGGAACTGTACCCAGTCACGGTGAACTGCCTTTACCTGAAAGTAGATCCTCTCCCAGAGAGCACCCACAGCCATGTCTGGCTAACATGGAGATACAAAGGCCTGGCCCCCAATCTCAATCAGAGACAGCCCGAGCTCCTGAGCCTTCTGAAGAATTGGCTGAGGCCTCTGTTGTAATCATCTTGCTGGTTACTTTTCCCTCTGCCTAATCCTATTCTATTAGTTACCTGTAGCCACAGAACACATTACCACAAACTTGAAGACTTTTTAAAAAATATATATTTATCATCTTACGGGTGTCACATAGTGAAGAATCTGGATACAACTTAGCTGGGTTCTCTGCTGAGACTACAAAGTGTTGGCCAGATTGCATTCTCATTTGGAGACTTGACTAAGGAAATATCTGCTTCTAAGCTCACTCCAATTGTCAGAAGAAGACCCCAGACTCTTGCTGCCTGTTGGTTAGAGGCTGTCTTTGGTGCCTAGAAATCACCAGTAATTCCTAGAGGCTGCCCACAGTTTCTTTCACATGAGCTTTCCCAACACGGCCACTTACAGAATCAAGCCAGCAAGAAGAGTCTCTAAAACAAGCCTGCTTGCAAGACAGACTCATATATAATATAAAGCAATTGCATGAGTGTGACATTACATAATCTTTGCTGTATCGTATTTATTAGAAGCAAGCCACAGGTCTCATGCTCACTCAAGAGGAAAGGATTATACAAAGGCATGAACACCAGGAGATGGGAATGATGACGGCCATCTTAATATCTGTCCACCACACTTGCCTTCCTCACTTCTTAAAGGTGTATTTCCTGAGAGCATGCCCCAATAAACCTGCTGCATGCAGCTACTCCATCTTAGAGTTTGTATCCAAAGAGCAACACTGGAGGCAAAGAAGTGAGTTAGAGACCATTGCTGTAACCTTAACCATGAGCAACAGCAGTGGGAGACTGAGTAGCAATTTCCATTAATAAATATATAGTCATTGTTATTAAAATTTAGAATGACACATGGCCTATCTGGAAATAGAATCAAGTCTAAAAACTACAAGCTTGGATGCCTGAGCCCGCAGGTTCGAGACCCACCTGTGCAACTTGGTGAGACCTCATCTCTACAATAAATCAAAAATTAGCTGGGTGTGGTAGCACGTGCCTGTAGTTCCAGCTACTTGAAAGGCTGAGGCGGAAGGATTGCCAGAGTCCAGCAGGTCGAGGCTGCAGTGGCTGGGAGGGGCCACTGCACTCCAGTCTGGGTGACAGAGTGAGACTCCAACTCAAAAAAAAAAAACAAACTACAAGCTGTCTTCAAACAAGGATACACACAACAAAAATAATTCATTTAGGGCTGTAGAGCAGATTAAACATAACTAACAAAAATTAGACTTATGATGTTCCACAGTGTGAAAATTAATCTCAGACCACAATCAGTCACCCAATCAAAAAGAGGTGATTAGCACTTTATTAAATTAACACAGATTGAACTTTTATGAATTGCAGAAATAGTCAACAAATAGAACTGTCCTATTAGAGACTGGTGTTCAGAAAATATATAAGCAACTATTGGCATGATAACAGGATAAAATTCCACCCTGTATACCAACACTGCCATTTTTAATTCATCCCATTTACAATAATTGCATTTTAGTTTGCTTACTTGGTCATATATAGAGCAATATAAACAATATTCATAGAGGATCCATTTTCAGTGGCTACACCATATAATAGGTATTCTCCACCAGAAAAATTATTTTTCCTTAGGTCTTTGACATGTGACCTTATTTCTGGAAATGCTTAAATCAATAACTAAAAGCACCACATGACCACACTTACACACTGTTGTCAAAAAATATTTTAGAATATTTTGGATAGGAAATAGCTTATGATTTCAGTAGTCTTCATGGGTATAATTGATTGCCTTTCACTTTCAAACACACTCAAAATTTTATTACAAAAGAAGAATGGTGAAACAAAATATATGATCTGCTCTTGGATTTGGGGGTGCTCAGCAGTCACATAGAGACAGGTGTCGAATTTCTTGGAGGAGCAAAACAACAGCCCTTCAGAGAGGGGTGAGCCGCTCATCCTCTGTCATGAAGGCATCATTAGCGTGCCCTCTCTTCGTGTCCAGGGGATCACAGGGGATGCCATTTTCAATTGTGACTGTGTTTTCACACTTATCTTCGATGTCATCCACTTCAGATGGTCCTGTGTTCTTCCTAAAAACACATAAAAAGAGTGATTGGCATCTAGGAGGGGCAAGCATGGCTGTGTATAGTCTTATATACAAACATGCAAAACAGAAAGAGGAATAGGAACTTTAGAACAATGAAATAGTTAATGATATTGTGTCTTTTCAAATAAATTTCAAAGACCATACAGAGACAGTAAGGTAAAAAGACACTATCAAGATAAGAAGTCTGGAAGGATGACTTTCCAGCGGAGTTCTATAAAATATACAAGGAGGAGCTGATATCAATCCTATCGAAAGTATTCCAAGCAACTGAGAAAGATGGAACTCTCCTCAAATCATTTTATGAAGCTAACATCACACTGATACCCAAACCAGGTAAAGATTCAACAAAGAAAGAGAGCTACAGGCCAATATCCCTGAAGAACATAGATGCAAAAATACTCAACAAGATTCTAGCAAATTGAATCCAACAACACATCTCAAAAATCATCCACCATGATCAAGTAGGCTTCATCCCCAGGATGCAGGACTGGTTCAATAACTGCAAGACCATGAATGTAACTAAATACATCAACAGATGAAAATAGAAATCACATGATTATATCATTAGATGCAGAAAAAGCTTTTGATAAAATTCAGTACCCTTTCCTGATTTAAAAAAAAAAAAAAGCCTTGAGCACCTAGGCATAGAGGAAACATACCTCAAAATAGTAAGAACCATCTACGACAAACCCACAGCCAACATACTGCTAAATGGACAAAAATTGGAAGCATTACCCCTGAAAACCGGAACAAGACAAGGCTGCCCACTTTCACCCCTCCTGTTCAACATAGTGTTGGAAGTCCTAGCTAGAGCAATCAGACAAGGGAAGGAAATCAGGGGTGTCCAAATAGGAAAAGAGGAAGTCAAGTTATCCCTCTTTGATGATGATATGATTCTATACCTCGAAAATCCAAGAGAATCTGTTAAAAAACCTTCTTGTACTGATAAAGGACTCTGGCAAAGTCTCAGGGTAAAAAATCAACATGTAAAAGACAGTCGCGTTCTTGTACACCAACAGCAAACAGGCAGAGAACCAAATACAAAGCACAATTCCATTCACAATAGCAACAACAAAAAAATGAAATACCTCAGCATCTTCCTAACCAGAGAAGTGAAAGATCTTTATGACAAAAACTACAAAACACTGCTCAAAGAAATCAAAGATGACACAAACAAATGGAAAAATATTTCATGCTCATGTATAGGAAGAATCAACATTGTAAAGATGTCCATCCTACCAAAGGCAATCTACAGATTTAATGCAATACCCATTAAATTACCAACATCATTCCTCTCACTCCTGGAAATGACAATACAGAAATTCATATGGAAACATAGATGACCGTGAATAGCCAAAATAATCTTCAGCAAAAGAAACAAAGCGAGAGGTATCACACTTCCAGACTTGAAATTTTATTATAAGGCTACAGTAATCAAAACAGCCTAGTATTGGTACAAGAACAGGCACATAGACCAATGGAACAGGATATAGATTCCAGAAGCGAAGGCTCAATTCCTCAACCAACTCATCTTTGACAAAGCCTCCAATAACAACCACTGGGGAAAGGAGAACCTATTCAGTAAATGGTGCTGGAAAAACTGGCTGACCACATTCAGAAGATTAAAACAAGATAAACAAGATAAAACATATCACCATACACAAAATTCAACTACAAATGAATCAAAGACCTAAATGTAAAACCTCAAATTATAAGAACCTTAGAAAATCCAGGAGACGCCCTTATGGAAATTGGAACTGGCAACCAATTCCTGATCAAAACCCCAAGTGCCCATGCCATAAGAGATTAGATAGACAAGTGGGACCTCATGAAACTGAAAAGCTTCTGCAAAGCAAAAGAAACCATCAAGAAAGAAGAGAGACAGCCCACAGAATGGGAAAAAACATTTGTCAACTGTATATCTGACAAAGGCTTAACATCCAGGATCTACAAGTAACTCAAACATGCCGAAATGGGTATTGGATGTATTTAGATTATATAATACCCAGTGATCTATCACAGAAATAAAGAACTGAGACCATATGTTCTCACTCATAAGTGGACCCTGAACAATTATCATAATACTACAAAAAAGAGATTAGCAGTAGTGGGAAACTGCCAGGGGGGAGGAAATAGACACACTTCATCAGTAAGGGTACCTGATTTCAAACCAGGTGAAGTGGAGACCAAAGTGAAGCCCAACCTTTACCTGTACAATGACCATTTGTATACCTAACCCTGAATTGTACTCCACATCTTTAAAATTAAAAAATTTTTTTAAAGGCATGAATTTTACAGACTTCCCTTAATAAAACAATAAACAATAAAAAAGAAGTCTGCATGGATGACATACACATATTGATCAAAATGAGAGGTCTTATTTAGGATACTACAATAAATATAGATGAATATGTATATGGATATAAATGTGTATGAATGAATATGACTGAGTCAGCATTCAACACACATATGCAGATATACATTCTCACACAGAAATTGTATAAAGGAATGTGAGGGAAATGTATGATAAATTGACAAGTTTAAAATTTAGCTCTAGGAGAAAAACTTAATAAAAATTGAATTTTTAAAAGTATTAAAGTCCTCTCATGGGATTTGACAAATTAAAAGTCTAAAAATGTTAAGTGAAATCAAATTGAAATAGGCTCAAAAAGCAAATTCAGGTCGGGCATGGTGGCTGCAATCCCAGCACTTTGGGAAGCCAAGAGGAGAGAACCACTTGAACCCAGGAGTTTGAGGCCAGCCTAGGCAACATAGTGATACCTCATCTCTACAAAAAAAAAAAGTCAAAAAATTAGTCAGGCATGGTAGCATGCACCAGTAGTCCCAGCTACTTGGGAGGCTGAGGCAGAAGGATCACCTGAGCCCAGGAGGTCAAGGTTGCAGTGAGCTATGATCATGCCACTGCTCTCCAGCCTGGGTGACAGAGTGAGACTCTGACTCAAAAAAAAATTTCAAAAAGCAAATTCACATTACTTTGGAGAGAATAAGTAACTATTATAAATTTTAAATATTGTTGCTTAGCCCTACTCATTACAAAATAGTTGTGTTCATTTGTAAGTCAGGGTTTTGGAACTCAGAACACATTTTTCTAATTACATTACAACTCATAGTTGTAATTCCAGGTCATTCCAAAAGAACTCCACATTACAGGATAAATTTTTTAGTTTCTCATACTCACTCTTTGTAGACCCTGCTATTCCAACCCAAGTAGAATCCAGAAGCTTATCCTTGGAATGTAAAAAGCTGTAGACTTGAATTTAAAGTTTTCTCCGATCTTTTGTAAAAGACTAAGATTCTGAGCCAATTATGCTTGATATCATTCAGTAAAGGAAAGAAGAGAGATGGGTTCCTTTAGGCAACCAGAGGAAAGAGGGGTTTCCCTGAGGCTCATCACAGATTGGATGTTGGGGCACCACTCCACAGTGGCACCATGGAAACATAATGTTAGGCATGAGGCTCCTGAACTTGCCAAGAATTTTCTTATCTCAGGAATCTGTGGAAAGAGACAACCCTGAGGGGATCATTTGGCTGAGGCATAGAGCATTACAGTGGTGACCAAGGTGGATTCCCAACATTATAGGAGTCTCTTAGGACCTTGGTGAGTCTCCGACAGGTGAAAAGGTGGTGAAGATGCCCCAGTGATGGCCAAGATGGAATTTCCTATTAGTCCTACATGATAATCTATTTTAATGTGCTTTAAAGAATATGATGGAAGAAAGGAGAGAAAAGAGAAATATATTTTTAAAAGAAGAATGCCAACTAATATAGAAAGGGTAATAGAAATCAAAAATCACCACTACAATAATAATTGATTGAAGCTGCATTGCAACAAAGAACTGGTAGATATCCTGAGGGGACTCTAAGTCCTCTCCTCTGGGCTAATGCTCCTATCCCCAGCAGTTGGGAATACTGGATGAGGAGCAACAATAAATACTAAACTATTGAGTGAAAGATGATTGGGGAACAAAATATTCACATGATCTCAAAGAATCACCCTCATAGGTAATATACTAATTACAAAAAGATGCTTGCATTTTGCCAAGGAAGAAATATGGTGACTATCTCCAACAATGAGACAAATTGATGAGTCTTTCCTTATGTGATTCCCAGAGAAGATAATATAAATACAAATGTAAATGCAAGTGTAAGTGTAAATATAAATATATGTTTTTTCTATGTTTCTGGTCCCCCTCCTTTAATTTTTTTTACCTGAATCTCATAATTAGTACCCAAATCAGACAAATCCAAAGTTAAAGATGTTTTGCCAAACAGCTGGCCTGGACTCAGCAGAGTGGGCATTCAAGTCAATGAGTAACTGAATCAATGAATGTAGATTCCTGGCTGGCTGGCTGGCCAGTTGACTGACTGGACAATAAATTAATGGGAAAAAATGGCCATATGGATGAATAGAGGATGGATGAGTGGTTGAATGAACGAATGGATGGATGAATGGATAAAATAATTAATAAATGTAAATCAAAGGCTGGTTGGCTGGATGATGGATGGATGGATGGACAGACAGATGGATGGACTAATGCTATATGTAAAGTTTCTCAGACAGTAGCTCAAGGTAGATCTTGAATGGGGTTCATCACAAGAAATGAAGAAAGGGAGGGAAGGAGGGAGAGACGGAGGGATTTCACACGTGAAATTTTTTATATCTCATATTTTTTAATGAATGAAGAAAAATATTCATTTTTTTACCCTAGGAATTTGGATTTAGTATGGACTTTGCCACGTTTTACTGACAGTTTATTAAATAATTCAAATAGTTGTAGTTCATTTTTTTAAAAAGTAAAGTAGCATTCCAATACTGTAGATCCCAATGTCACCATTTGAAAGTATTTTGTCATGATATGCACCACCATCAAATATCACAATGAGTCACTATAGGCAATGACTGAATTGGAGTCACCAAATTTTAAACATTTATTCATAAAACTTCTGGCCCAATGCTGAGTT